GAGCGGAATATTTGACACTTGTTGATGTACTGCTTTCAAATTTAATTTTATTATAAACTCTTCCCATCTTGTTCACTTCATTGATGAAGTATTTACTGTAACGCTGAGAGACTTGTAAGCATATTGTTCAGCTTATTAATGGATTATTCACTGTAACACTGCATACTTTTACAATCTTGCTCACTCCATTAGTGGAATATTTAGTGTAACACCGAGAGACTTGTAAGCATGTTACTAACTCCACTAGTGGAGTATTTACTGTAACGCTGAGAGACTTGTAAGCATATTGTTCAGCTTATTAATGGATTATTCACTGTAACACTGCATACTTTTACAATCTTGCTCACTCCATTAGTGGATTATTTACTGTAACACTGAGAGACTTGTAAGCATATTGTTCAGCTTATTAATGGATTATTCACTGTAACACTGCATACTTTTACAATCTTGCTCACTCCATTAGTGGAATATTTAGTGTAACGCTGAGAGACTTGTAAGCATATTGTTCAGCTTATTAATGGATTATTCACTGTAACACTGCATACTTTTACAATCTTGCTCACTCCATTAGTGGAATATTTAGTGTAACATCGAGATACTTGTAAGCATGTTACTAACTCCACTAGGGGAGTATTTAGTGCAATACTAAGATACTTGTAAACATCTTGCTCACTCCATTAGTGAATTATTTAGTGTAACCCCGAGAGACTTGTAAGCATATTGTTCAGCTTATTAATGGATTATTCACTGTAACACTGCATACTTTTACAATCTTGCTCACTCCATTAGTGTAACATCGAGATACTTGTAAGCATGTTACTAACTCCACTAGTTGAGTATTTAGTGTAACCCCGAGAGACTTGTAAGCATATTGTTCAGGTTATTAATGGATTATTTACTGTAACACTGAGGTACTTGTACAATCTTGCTCCAAGAAGATGAAAAACAAAGTGGATTACAGACCACTACTCTCCAACAACCCCTAATAGTCTTTATTTGATTCGTTAAACTTATTACCAGGTTTCTTTCCTAATATTTTATCCACAGAGTGGTTGACTGATTGGATTGTGTTGTTAAGTACAAAGCTACACAAAGGTTTATCTGTGCTCTGCCCACCACGGGTATCAAACCCAGTTTCTAGCAGTATTTGTCCACACAGTCTCGTTCATTAGATCACTCTGCTAACCTTATAATTTACTTTTTATGATAACCGAAGGAAATAGGGAATTTAAGAATCATTTCTTAACTTATTGAAGTTGTCATTCTTTTGATATTTCGAGAGGTTATAAAAACTAGATTAACTATTTCCAATTAATTCAAGATACTCATAAGAATCTCAAAGTAACGAAAAACAGTTGTTATTTATTCAGAAAATTTTATTTTAGCCACTCACCTTTTTGTTGTCAAATATTTTACATAATTACAAATACTGAGCAAAAATGATTAATAATTAACACAAATTAAAAACAGAAGTACGTGCTGTATTTTATACAGTTTTGTTTCTGAGGAACATTTTGCAAGTGTCATAACACATCCAACATTGAAGCAAAGGACTTAAAAGATTGTTGGGTTCGTGAATAAGATAAGAAGCTCTACAAAATATATGAATTAACTGTATAACAAACACATATTCATAAACAAGGGGGGGGTTATATTTATTTCATAACAGTGACTTATTGAAAGGTGAATAACAGTAAATAATGAATGTGTGTTATATAAATTTTAGTGAAATAAACCACACTCTTAATCATGCCACTCAGTTGTGTGTGTGAAAAATTAATTTCTTGCCTACTCGAGAATTTATTAAATGGTGCATTTTTAAAAGAAGTATTAAACACCACTGACTCATAAGAAAATAATATTTACTGGGAAAACACAGTAGAACTTCTATGTAGGTTTTGGAAAATTTTAAAAGAAGAATTAAACACCATTGACTCATAAGAAAATAATATTTACTGGGAAAACACAGTAGAACTTCTATGTAGGTTTTGGAAAACTTAAAAGAAGAATTAAACACCACTGACTCATAAGAAAATAATATTTACTGGGAAAACACAGTAGAACTTCTATGTAGGTTTTGGAAAACTTAAAAGAAGAATTAAACACCACTGACTCATAAGAAAATAATATTTACTGGGAAAACACAGTAGAACTTGTATGTAGGTTTTGGAAAACTTAAAAAGAGTATTAAACACCACTGACTCATAAGAAAATAATATTTACTGGGAAAACACAATATAACTTGTATGTAGGTTTTGGAAGATTTCTACGGCTGAAATAAGTTTAGTTATGATATTATTTGTAGATGTAAGCTAACCTAAGAAAGCCACATTAAAAAAGAAAAGGTCGTTTAATTATTATATGAAGATCAAAATTCCTCACCATTTCTCTAAATAATCCAAAACCATTTTCGGTGCTACTCGTTACTGTTAATGTCTGAAATGAAGAATGTAGAAAAGGTACCCATCAACTGTCGTCTTTTTAACAAATGAAGTAAGTTGTTATATCTTCGAGTATGTTATAACGTGTTGATAGTTCAAATTGTTTAAACTTTGTGTTATATCCTCGAGTATGTTATAACGTGTTGAAAGTTCAAATTGTTTAAACTTTGTGTTATATCCTCGAGTATGTTATAACGTGTTGATAGTTCAAATTGTTTAAACTTTGTGTTATATCCTCGAGTATATTATAACGTGTTGATAGTTCAAATTGTTTAAACTTTGGAACTCATAAACGTATATTTATATGTGATAAAATGAATCATGTCAATTACCGTTCCTTACCGTTTAGATACATGTATCTGTCTCTAAAACACAACAGTCTAGTTAGACTTTAACACATTCGTACAGAGGTCGTGTTTCTTTCATATATATATATATATATATATATCATATGCTATAAGATATACAATATTTAGCTTAAACCGAAACCTTTGCTTCGTTAACCATTCTGGATTATTATAATATTGGCACCAGCAGTACAGACTATAATAGCAAAAGACATATATATGAACATAAATTTTAATATCGAAGTTGAATTAAGCCTACATTCAAATATCTTCAAAACACTTTGATCACTCAACTTTTACAGACTTCTTGTTTTCAATCTGTTCATATTCTGATTGTTCAGCTTTATAACTTTTATATTTAAATATCTCAATACTTTGTTATTTTAGATTTCTTATTCAAATCACGTGATTACCCGGTTGTTGCTTTTTTTTTAACTTTATAAATTTTACATGAAATCTCTCATAATCCTTTGATTTCTCATCTTTAAAGATATCACGGTCAAATCTTTTAATACTTTAATTTTTCAACATTATAAATTATGCTGTAGTTATTAGTATATTTTATTTAGTTTCATTATTATACACCTCAAAATAAATTCGCAACAATCTTAATATTTTTGTTTTTTTTTCTAGAAACCTATATCCTGTTGAATAGGAAATAATGCCATTTCTTTTATAATATATGAAGCTGCTAAAACACAATTTGGCTGTTTATCCCACATTAACAAACAACAGTTATTCGTTTTGCTGTAAAAAAAATCAAATAACACGACTGGAAGCTCCTTTTATATAATAATATTTCTTCAAAAAGTTTTTCTTCTTTCTGATCATCTGCACAGAAAATATCGAAGTTTTTATTTGTCTTCAAACTTAGTATCCTACATGAGAACCATATCTAAGTCTTAACAATACTCAACTTATATGGTTAGTTTCAACCATTGAAATATCACATCTAAGTCCAACAATACTCATGAAACGTTCTCACGCTATCTTCTATAGTATGGCTGACATCTTCTAAACTTGATCTGCTTTATTCTTTTTTACGTACCTATAAAATTTCACATAAAATACATAGACTTATTATTAATCTGCAAATACATTTACATAGGCTCAAGTTTCTTTGTTAAACTTGCTTTACATGAAATGTGTTAAAGTTAAAAGAATATCACACCAGCAATAATTAGTAAACAAATACCTACAACCCTTTATGAAAAGTGTGTCGTTATATTGTAAAAAATAAAACCATTAGAACTTTTTCTTGAAAAACAAAAATGTATTTGAGTAAAAAAAAACACCAAGTTACATCTGTGTTTGGTAAACTTAAACGATAGTACTAGTTACATTTGTGTTTGGTAAACTTAAACTATAGTACTAGTTACATCTGTGGTTGGTAAACTTAAACTATAGTACTAGTTACATCTGTGGTTGGTAAACTTAAACTATAGTACTAGTTACATCTGTGGTTGGTAAACTTAAACTACAGTACTAGTTATATCTGTGGTTGGTAAACTTAAACTATAGTACTAGTTACATCTGTGGTTGGTAAACTTAAATTATAGTACTAGTTACATCTGTGTTTGTTAACCTTAAACTATAGTTATAGTTACATCTGTGTTTGGTTAAATTAAACTATAGTACTAGTTACGTCTGTGTTTGCTAACCTTAAACTATAGCACTAGTTACATCTGTGTTTGGTTAAATTAAACTATGGTACTAGTTACATCTGTGTTTGTTAACCTTAAACTATAGCACTAGTTACATCTGTGTTTGGTTAAATTAAACTATGGTACTAGTTACATCTGTGTTTGTTAACCTTAAACTATAGTTATAGTTACATCTGTGTTTGGTTAAATTAAACTACAGTACTAGTTACATCTGTGTTTGTTAACCTTAAACTATAGTTATAGTTACATCTGTGTTTGGTAAATCTAAACTATAATACTAACCACAGTCGTGGTTATTCTTGTCTTTTCACAAACGTTAATCGAAGATTCTCCTGGAATAAAAAAATAACATTCACATTACTGTGGCAAAACAGAAAACTTTCTTGTATTTCACTTTCTATTTTATCATTTTATTGAATAGCTTGAAAGTAGTTTTCAAAATAGGAATTATTTTTATATTTAACTTACTATTTTATTGAATAACTTGTAAGTTGTTTTTTTTTCATTCGTCTGTAATTTTTCCTTCCGAATGGAAAACAAATTCACGTTTACCAGTTTTTTTTTATATTAATTCATGGCTTTACTCTAAAACTAATGTATTTTAAGCGAGTCTCCGGTTATACGATAGCTTTATTTTACATAAGATATATAACTAAAATATTAAAACAAGTTCATATTAGAGTAGCCTCATTGCTTCTGAGCAAAAAAGTGTGTATATATGTGTGTGTGTGCGTTTCCTTCGCAATAAAGTATTATTTTTTAACAAAAAAGGTTGCTCGTATATTAGTTTTACTAAAACAATTAAGTAAGAAACAAATATTCTTTACAATTAAAGATTTAATAACTTCATTGTAATTTTATTCTACTCCAAAACTTGTAAAATTAGCTTACGTCGGTGCTACTCATGGCATTCCGAAGAGCTGCATTGGCAAAGGTCAAAGACATTCCAAGAAGTTTAGTGTTGTCCACCATTAACAACTGGTCGCCTTTCTCTAGCTCCCCATTCAGAGACACAGCGCCTCCTACCCACATGTCTGCAACTACTATCTTGCCATCGAACTTTGAGTTAATGCCTCCTTCTATGCTGAGGTTTAGGGCTCCAGTCTGAAATGGTTATTACAATATGTGAAGGTTTTAAAGACACGCTTGTTTGTTTATTTATTCATAGTTTTCGCGGAAAGCTACACAAGGACTGTCTGTACAAAACCGTACCTAAGTTTTAAGTGATAAACTGGAGATTTGTTTGTTTCTTTGATGGTAAGCACAAAGCTACACAAGGACTGTCTGTACATAACCGTACCTAAGTTTTAAGTGATAAACTGGAGATTTGTTTGTTTCTTTGATGGTAAGCACAAAGCTACACAAGGACTGTCTGTACATAACCGTACCTAAGTTTTAAGTGATAAACTGGAGATTTGTTTGTTTCTTTGATGGTAAGCACAAAGCTACACAAGGACTGTCTGTACATAACTGTACCTAAGTTTTAAGTGATAAACTGGAGATTTGTTTGTTTCTTTGATGGTAAGCACAAAGCTACACAATGGACTATCTGTGCTCTGCCCACCTCGAGTATCAAAACCCGGTTTCTAGCGTTGTAAGTCCGCTGTGCCACTTGGGGGCAAACTGGAGATAGGACCGTTAGTCAACAGCACGCATTGGTACTTCTTGGGATACTCTCATGTGATCGAATAGTGCGATATGAATGTCGTTTTTATTGTACATGTACGTCTCCAAAGTGCGGAGCAGGTTTTTGCGGAAACGAAATGCGAACCATGAACCTTCGGATTCATAGTCCGAGCATGCTAGCTACTAGGCACGTGATTAATATCCTAGTAAATATTACAAAACAAATTAGTGCAAAAAACTACAAATGTTACTCTTAAAGTTATCCAATACTAAATTACTTTAGTAAACCTAAAAAACTACAAATGTTACTCTGAAAGTTATCAAAACACTAAATTATTTTAGTTAACCTCAAAAGTTGGGCTTTCATTCAATTTGAGAAAAAAAAAAGATAAGCTAACACTTTAGTTCTAATTTTAAAGTAAACAAAATAGATAATTGAAGTACAGAATCGGTTTAGAGTTAGTTAGCAAATCTGTTTTAAGTATTATTATTATCGTCTACTACATACCTAGAATAGTACAATGGCTACTGATGTTATTTTAACAAGTGAGAAAACAGTTCAAAAAGCTAAACTAACACGGTTACTCTTAACCAAATAGCATAAATAGCCCTATAGCTGAGATCGCGGAATATGTACAGTGGCATATCTCGAGCTTAAACATTGACTTGCCGATCCGCAGCCCAACATGCTAATCGTTAGGCTAGGCTCCATGAAAGCTTATTCTATTATTTGTTTCAAGCTCTCGCAGGTAGCAATGTAAATACACATTTGAATTTCTAAAAGCTTATGCTTTGAGAAAAATAATTAAACAGGTTTTTTCCAGCGATATAAATCATATTTTTATTTAAAATAAGTTCTAATAGCAGAAGCTGTACTTTTTTCCACGTGATATTTGCTACTCAGTACAGTCTCTGAAACATTCTGTAAAAAATATATCTCCTTGAAAGGTAAAGTGTTCTCATAAAATCTCGTACAAAAAATTGATTAAGCACTGATTTTAAATTTTCGATTAACACGTGAATTTTCCTGCCAACACTCAGGCAGCTTAATTTCTCCATTCCTGCTAACGAGCAGGAAGGATGTTGGTTTGTATCCCACTTTGTCCTAAAAGTCACTTTGTCGAAGAATAACAACACAATGAATTGTTTGTCACCGTAAAACTAATCTAATTTAAAAAGAATTTTATTTCTTCTAAAATATGTTGTTGTTGTTTTTTTAACGAAAACTTTGGAAGCTCGGAAACTTCCACTGACTCACTGGGGGACTTTCTAAGGGGTACCACTTATATCAAAATCAGATAACTTCCAAACTCTTCATTAATATTTGAATAAGTCAAATCTCACAACTCATTGTTTCAAGCTAACGAACAAAGATGGAGCCACTCTGAACTTTCTAGAGCTTGGAGACTATAGGTTTGAAATTAATACTTTAAGCTGATATATATATTGGATAATCAACCATACACTCTTTAAAAACCTGCAAACCCCAAAGCTTCTATAAGAAGTTTACGGTCTCCCACAAAAACGGAGTTCACAGCATACCTCTCATATTCACTATAAAAAAAAACGACACAAAAGCAAAATTAAAAAAAATATTTCTTTTACGAAAAATGCTTTAAAAATAACGAAATTTTAACTGAATATACTGTTTCCTTAAAATATATGAATGTAGAGAACATAAAATTATCAAGTAAGACATTTGTTGTTACATATACTTATAATGAGTTACACTGTATTGTGTGGTTAAATTATACGAAGAAATATGAGTTGTGTGTGAAATATTTCTGTTTGTAATCTGGGATATTTCACATATAACCAAAAGTATAATAACATATATCGATGATCATTACTGACTTTTCCTGCTACTAATCGTGAATATTTCACACATAACCCAAGGTAAGTTAGGTAACACATAGTGATGATCATTATTGAACTTCTCTGGAAGTAAGCTGTAATATTTCATACATAACCCAAGGTATGATAATACATGCCAATTATCATTACTGAATTTTTCTGCTTGTAATAGTCCCCCAGTAGCACAGCGGTATGTCTGCGGACTTACAAAGCTAGAATCCGGGTTTCGATGCCCGTGGTGGGCACAGCACACATAGCCCATTATGTAGCTTTGTGCTTAATTACAAACAAACTGCCTGTAATCTGGAATATTATTTCACACATAACCCAAAGTACGTTTGTTAACATATAGTGATGATAAATATTGAGTTTTCGTGCTTGTAATTTGGAATATTATTTCACACATAACCCAAAGTACGTTTGTTAACATATAGTGATGATAAATATTGAGTTTTCGTGCTTGTAATTTGGAATATTTCATGCGTAGCGATGGTCATTATAGGTTAGAATATTAAAATATGTTACCATTTTGAGAAGAAGAAAAATTGTAACTATAGAATGGTTTCTAGTAAAGTCGTTCTTACCTTTTTAACCACCAACGTTTTCACTTCCCTTCCACCTGTTTCTTCTTCATTAAACTATAGCGAAAAGAACGTGAACAATAATTACTATTGTATCGAAAGGCTTTCTACTTAAACAACTAAATTTTCATCTGAGTAAAATACTAAGTTTCTGACCAGCATTCTGCATTTTGATATCCTTTTCTATCGAGTACGTTAACTGTCTATAAATAGAGCGTTAGTTATTCAAATTAATCCCAAGCTTGTCGTCCCACCAATATGGTATTTGAACTCACGATCTCACTCGCGATACATTCTATAAAGAAAATGAGAAATACTCTCTAAAGTTTCTGTAGCCTCGAAATGGAAGTTACGAATTAAAGTACATGCCACGAAATATAATTAAGTATGAATGTTGATTTTCTATTTGTCCAGAAACAAAGTATAACGAGCATGGACCATTCATGTGGCAGGCAGTTTGGGTCGTTAAAAAAATGCCTTGCTGTCAGTTAGGGGTTTAATTATTGGTTGTAGATGGTACAGCGCTCGTTTGGAATATGTGAGCTACCGGGAGTTGTTAATGTTATTCGATTTCAGCTTACCTCCTTTGAAGTTAACTTTTCCTCTATAGGTGTTGGAGGGCGCTGTCTTCGCCGAAACTTTAAATCTTCGGGAACAAGCTTTGAACTGTCACAAAAAAATACAATACAAATATATACTGGTATATTCAAGGCGAGTGCATTAGTTCCGTTAAACTGGTTATATATATGATCTACATGCACTTCGCTACTTTTACTAGAACTCACGAACACCTTCACTACAATCTAAACTGTGTGAACTAGTGTTTTCACACATGGTTATAACACTGTTAATTATACTAAAATACAGCAGAAATGTAGTTAGCAAAACCATCACTATAACCTACGCAAACTATAGTGCCTTGAAGCGCGATCAGGACACTGTTAACTGTTTTAGAACACAAAAATACAATTAGTAGAATCTTTACTACAATGTAAGTTACACGATCAGAATGTCCTGTCAACTGTATTAAAAACAAAACTAACAAAACCTTTACTAGTAAGCTACGTGAACCAGTGCCTTCCAAAATGGGCAGGATGTCCTGTTAACTGTATTAAAAACAAAACTAACAAAACCTTTACTAGTAAGCTACGTGAATCAGCGCCTTCCAACATGGGCAGGATATCCTGTTAATTGTATTAAAAACAAAACAAAACCTTCACTAGCAAACTACGTGAACCAGTGCCTTCCAACATGGGCAGGATGTCCTGTTAAATGTGTTAAAAACAAAACAAAACCTTCACTAGTAAACTACGTGAACCAGTGCCTTCCAAAATGGGCAGGATGTCCTGTTAACTGTATTAAAAACAAAACAAAACCTTCACTAGTAAGCTACATGAACCAGTGCCTTCCAACATGGGCAGGATGTCCTGTTAACTGTATTTAAAAACAAAACCACGACTAACAAATCCTTCACCACAATCTAAGTTATGTGAACTAGTGCCTTCCAACATGGTTAGGACACCGTTAATTCTAATTACAGACATTAATGCTTTTAATAATGGTTATCTAAGACACCCTGTTAATTGTATAATTATTTGAAAACAGAAGTAGTAACCTGCTCTGAAGCTTCAACAAAGCACTGTGTTTTTACAAAAGTTTCGACCTAACATTAATATCGGTTTAAGCAAGAAATAAAAAAACAAGTAAGGAAAAGAACTTTCTCAGAATCCAAAACTATGATGTGCTTTCAAGACCTATTTATATAGATTTAGGAATAAGCTTATTACTCATACTTACTCGGAAAGTTAAGTCGATATTACTGACTTTAATAATCGTTTATCTATCCACACTGATATTAATAGTGCGGTGGATCAGCGGTAAGCGTGAGGGTATATAACTCTACAATTCGAGGTTCAGTCCTCAGGATGCACATAGTGTAGATATCTTACTGTACATCTATGCACTTGATAGAAAGATATCAATACTGCTAGAGCACTTAAAGTGGGTACAAGTGACTTTTAGGGGAGTTTAGCCACTAAGTTTTCAGTTCTGACATTTCGTTGCTAGATTTTTTTCTATTTTATTCTCAATAGTTGATTAATTTTCGACTTTAGTCAACTATAAGTGTCGTCTATCAGTTCGGATATATAAATTGAAAATGTTAAGTCACTGGTGATGAATATGTTTGGTAAATAGCTATAAAACTATGTATGACCAGCACGTTGATTGACTTTTTATCAAACATGCTGTTTCAGTTTTAAAATTTCGTTCACTTTTATTTGTATATGTATTTGTCTGGAAAATTACCTTTGGAAATTCGAAGTTACTTTTCTTAAGGTAGGGTGACCGCTACCGTTCACGGTCGGTTTTCCAGAACCATTCACCAAGTTCCCAGGGTCAGCAGGTCTAGTGGTCACTTTCACTGTGACTGACGGTGGCCCTGAACTTTGATTCGATGAAACTGAATTTGTAGAACTAACTGGAGAGTGTGGAGGAGTTGAGCCGTAAGTACTGGAGCTTGTGGAACTGAGCGTTTTCAGAGTTATCTGCATCTTTGACTTGTTTGGTAGAGGTGAAGAAGACACACTGGAAGATGAACTGGTTGATGTGGAATCCAGGTGCTCTTTATAGGATTTCTTATCTTGCTTACATTCTCCATTTTGTTGTGTAAAACGGTTACTAGACATGGGGTTCTTATAGGAGTTGATTGAAACCAGAGGTTTTGGTTTAGTATAGTCAAAATAAGTATCCGGGCATTTCGGCTTAGAATCTCTGCTGTCGGTAATAGCGGGTTCTGTTTCTGTATGGGTTGAAATAGGAGGAGAGAGTGTAGAGGTCAGAACTGGTTTACGGAGCTGGATTGTAACTTTGGTACTGTGGTCAGTAGGGCTGGTTGTAGACTATAAACATACAAGGCCACATCATTACTCAGACTTTTATATAGAACCGTTGTCAAAAATGATTCATTTTTAATCACATCCATGTCATAGAATTTAAAAGTCTAAAAATAAAAAAAATAATTATTAAATATTTTTTTTGCAACTACAGGTAAAACGTTAAGTTCGAGAACTGATGGAATAATCGTTCAAACACATGTCAAATGTACTAAGTATATTATTACAAAAGTGTTCATAACGATATTAGTATGTTTCAAAAGCTCCTAGTGCGTGTTTGTGAAACACATACACACATATACGTACTAATTCTGGTATGGAATTTCAATTATAGAAAACAAAAAATTAGGGTTTGTGTGGTTGTTTTGGTTTGTTTCTTTAGAAAAAAAAACTGAACTTAAATCCGAGCAGACAATTGAATACGAGTTATATTGAAATAAATTTATTATAATATTTCTTTTCCAATATTTGTTAAATACATAAAACAAAATAGAGATACAGAATTCAATATCATATAATTCAAGGTTGTACTGACTGATTCTTAGTTTTACCACAAGGATATTCAAACACCACTTTCAGTGATACAGAATCTGATATCAAAAGAATTAAGTAAACACATCGTTAACATGAAACACTAATGTGTAAATACATCAAGTAGATACGGCGTTAAATAAAACACTAATGATTAACTACATTAAGTACATATGGCGTTAAAATAAAACACAAAGGGTAAATATATTAAGTAGACATAGCATTAACAGAAAACACCATTAAGTAGATATAGCTTTAACAGAAAACACCATTAAGTAGACAGAGCGTTAACAGAAAACACCATTAAGTAGACATAGCGTTAACAGAAAACACTAATGGATAAATACAGTAAAGAGATATAGCGTTATCAGAGAACTACAATGGTAAATACAGTACAGAATGGTGTCAATCACCTTTTGCTATATATATTAATATGTATATGACAGAGATTTGTATTGTCAATAAAAACATATTTTAAAATATTTACTAATAGATTGAATAAGTGAACAATCTAAGGGTTAAACAAACTCCTAATAAGATTGTTTTTAAATACGTAAAACAGTAACAAACCTAAAACTTCTGAAACAAGGTAAGAAAACTAATAAATAACAATAAAAATAAACAAATCTACCTTGAAAGAAGTTGGATCAACAAACATAAATGGATTAGAGACTAGTGGAGGGACATACGAACTATAACGTCGCTCTCTCAGTCCGGCTAGCTCAGGACCTCTGGTGTCAGATTCATGCTCTAGCTGTGAGAGGTTAGTGTTAGTAGAAACAAGAAAGTTAGATATAAGCTACCCTGGTGCCCGCAAACAACCTGTTATATAAGCATTTATACCGAATTAATCACAATGTAAAGTACCATGTGAAAATTAGCAGCGAAAATGCCATAAAAAAACCTGTTATATAAGCATTTATCCCGAATTTAATCGTATTTTAAAGCAACATGTGAAAACTACAAGCGAACAGGCCACCAAAACCCTATTATATAAACATTTATACCGAATTTAATTAATATAATAGTACCGTGAAAAATTAAAATCGAACAGGCCAGTTTGACGTTGTATGGCATGCTCACCCATCAGTTATTTTTTGATGATGTCATACAAACTCAATAGTTAACAGCAAAGTTTCGAAGACGCGTTTTAAAAGTAGTTTAAAGTCATAGGCGCGAGGCTTAGAAAGGTATTGTTCATTTGAGGCGTTATGAGATATGTATTGTAATGACCTCTTGCAGTTTTCAGCGTTATTGGGGTTAGTGTCAGTTACGTAGGTAAGCGTCAGGCACTGGAGAATAGGACTCGTTGAATAAATTTTTAATTGTTTATGCACTTTAGTAGGCTTGCGCCAGTGGCTTTAAGCAACCCATGCCAGTGGCGTCAAACTGAAAAAGGAAAATCTTTTCATTTATTATTACGCAGCAGTCAAACCCTAACTTCCCTTTAGTTTCGTTGAAACGAACAGGATATCCAATGTCATTAACGAAGTTTGTCTAAACTGTTTCATCACATTAACCTTTTTGGTTAAAATTTACCGTTTTACGTCTATAATGGACAAACGACGTGTAATTGAAAAGGTAAGATTTGCCAAACATATGCTTTTCTTTAACCTCATAAATATATATATATATAGATATCATAGCAATCTGAAAGAAATATGGGTTAGAATACTAGTTTCGTTCTTTGAAGCCAAATAAAGATCTGATTTCTGATATGTTTAAAATTAAGCTCATCATTTTGCCATTTTAAACTGGTCTGTTAAAGGAAAAGGAAATATATATGTCCATTACCACCAAATGTCAAAGTACCCACAAAAATATTAATTCCAGAAAATGTTGATGTTTTGTACCAGACCGTTTGGGATAAAACAAAAAAAAGTAACTTTACAAGTTCGATAAAAAAAAAAGTTAGCAAAAAAGGAAGACATGCAATATTTATTTTCTACACCAACAAGCGCATCTGCACTAGCCCCATCTGCCATGCATAAAACATCTGGGAAAAAAATGATGCAATTCTCTGATCTATGGACTTTTAATCCAAAAATCAAAGTAGAGAAAGAAAATGATTTCAAAGCTTATGATCTACTATATACATTTTCCAAAACTTAAAATTTCTTTCTTTTCAAATAAAAAATATGGTTTCAGTTTCCCGAAATCATTAAAGGTTAATATTGCATATTTATATATTATATTTAGTAACAGTTGTTTTGTACAATGTTCATATTAAACCTACTTGCTGATGACCTGTGTTTCCATCGGAAAGGGTTGCCAGTGGTAGTGAAACAGATTGAGTTAAGGGTGGAGGTAGTTTTGTACAGGTGTTGCTACCTTGCTGACGTTTAGCATGAGTAGAAATGCTTGCTTGAGATTGGAGCTATAAAAAGTTTTTATGGATAAATTTTCATTGAGTTTGTTTAGTGTTTGTTCTTTGTATCAATAAACACGACAACATACTTGTAAATAACATACAGTTCCAGTCCGAAATAAATAAGCTTAGCTAAGTTACATAGGATTCGAGCATTGGGGGTTGTCGTCGTAAGCACATCATCCTTACCTATAAATCATTATAAAAATCAAATTAACTGCTCAAGTTTGTTTGTTTTTTTCTTTCTACATTTCTCTTAATTTGTTCATTGCGTCTCAAAATTAGAAGGTATAAAAACATTGCAGGTAACTTGATTTTTATAAACAAATTTAGGGCTGTTGGTTTCCAATAGTTTGCTGGCTTTCGGCGTTTAAACCGAAAATCTTACCTAAACTATCGTTTAAACCGTAAACCTTACATATACTTAATATTGTTTATGATCTGCCTAAAAATCGGCATAGACATTTTCAATACAATTTTATTAGTTCAACTTTGCATGTTTGTTTTGTTTATGGCAAAGTTTCTAAGACCATCCCTAATTTTGAACTGCTGACCAGAAGAAAGGCAACTAGCCGGCGGGACTCACCGCCAACTCTTGGGCAATTCTTTAATAACTGACAGTGGCATTTACTGCCACATTATAATGCTTCCACGGTTAAAAGGGCGAAAATGTTTGGCGTCAGGTTTCGATCCCGAGACCCGCAGATATTGCGAGTCGAGCGCCATAACCACAAGGTGTTTGTTCAAGGCTTTTTCTGATAGATTATTTATAAAAAAAAACAAATAAAATGAAATTAAAATGTCGTATTACTATAATATTAGTATTTTCTACTATTCTTAAACATTCCTGAGATATTTTCTTTGCTGAAATAATAACGTTATTTACACGTCGGCTGTTGTTCTTGATAGTTTCTGTAGTGTGAACCTATCTTCACACAAAAGGGAATATCGATAAACTGAAACGTTCCGGTTTTCAGAGTGAAACCTCGGTCTGTATTTTCTAATGTGTAAAATAAATAAAGTCACCTTTGTGTTTTGCTGATAAAGACATTAAAATCTATTTTGCGAACACAATAAAGGCTCAAACTACACAGTAAATTATATATATATTTTTGGATTTACAAATATAGATGTTTAATATAACAATTTCCCTGAATAACAAAAAAAATTATCGTGGACTTCGATAAACTCTAGCAAAAAAACTATTAATTTACCTTGAATATTAAACATTAACATGTCAAACACATCTAGTTATAAAAAATAGACAGGGGTGAAACTCACAGATTCCATAAAAAAATATCTCGCAATATTTCAGAGGCAGAAAATAATATAGTTTTCTACTTTTACGTTAAACTGTCATTTAAGGTTTACTAAATGAATAAATAAACTAACCTGTGAACTATTTTTTTGCTCGGATTTATTCTCGGCCAGAATCCCGCTGTCTGTACTTCCGAACATCTTTTTGTGAACAATTCTAAATTCTTCCATTAACTTTTCTACAGGGTGATGAAAAAAAATCCACTTGACAGTTAAAAGGAAAACATAAAAATCCCACAGGTGATATGTTTTTACATTAAATGACGACTTAAGGCCTAAGTGTGCTAGTATACCTTGTTTGTTTGTTTTGAATTTCGCGCAAAGCTACCCGGGGGCTATCTGCGCTAGCCGTCCCTAATTTAG